AACACAGCTCGTCACCTATTACAAAGTCCAGTACAATATGTCCCACAGCTAGTTCTATTTAATCATTGAAGTACATGAATGATAATAAGTTTGTTTAAAATCTGTACGGTTTTTTATATTAAATATGACTTGATTAGGAAAGTGATACTCGTATATACTAAACAGTATTAAAGTGTAAATTTAGAACATCGCAGTTTTTACTGTTGGAAAATAACATGTCCAACGTAGTCACCCTACTCCACGGTGTTTGTTCTAATAGTTGAATCTTCAGTTCACAATGAACATCGCTCAGTACTCTACGTTTTATTATCTTCAAATTGTCTTGAATTGCACCGGCTTCCGTTTCTTGGAGGAGTAAAGGGTTGTAAGTGACCGCATTGTCATCACCAGAGATCAGTTTTAATTTTATGTTCCATCCCATAGATTTAAATTCTACTTCTTTGTGATTGAATGCTCTATTAGTAATTACTAAGTTAGTTATTTGAAGGAAAAATTACGAATACGCGACCAAAGCAGCTCCTCTGTTTTTGCACGTACAATTGTGGCACTATACTGTTGTGCACAGTTGATAGCTTTCGATATCATTTGGATGTAACCGTTGTGTTCGAGGCTATGCTGATATGACTGCCTTGTTGATCTAGCGATATATTCTTCTCCACTAGTACACTAAACTAAAGTTAGATATTCTAAATATTTAAATTGAAATGAATTGAATATTTAAACAAAATGGCCACCTTATGCACAAAGAAAGAATTGACTTAATAGTGCAGTAACAGGAAACAGAAATAAAAACGACATGAAACTACAATAATTATCTATATTCCAGAAATACCACTGGTACGTTGACGTTGAATTTGAAAAAATAATGTCCAATATTTTACTCCAAACTTACGAAATAGTTTAAAATGTACGTATGCTCTCGTTAAATTATCACAGAACAAGACTAAACTGGCGCCGTAATGATATATGACTGACTGAGCAAAAACTTTCAGCCATAATTTTGACACGAAGTTATGTTTCAATTACTCTATTTCAATCTTTAATTCAATATAATAAGATTTATAATTTCCTGTGCTGCGTCTGGAGTTATGCCTTTTGATCAGCGGTTAAATATGTTACAAAATTATCGCCTAGCTTCCGATTGCGATATGCTATTTCAAACCGATGATCCAATGTTAGACGCTATCTATTTAATCTTTATTTAGCATTATTATACATATATTCAGATAAACATCATGTTTTACTCTTTTGGAAATATACAAAAGTATAATTTTAATTATTAACATTTTACTATAAACAAGGATCAATTTAAGTTTGCGTTTATTGCAGAATTTATTTATATTTATAAGGCCTCCCCAGGCTTAGTCCTTCTCTCTGTCTGTGTTCAACTGTGGGATATTTGAAAGCCCTTACTTTGTATGTACGTAGAACGTGGTACTTACAAAGAGAGAGCTTTCAAACATTTCGTCGTTGACACCGCAAAGGGGCGAACTTCAATTTTTCAAAAAACTACAGGAGAGCAAGAAAACATTTATTATTCCCCGATAACTAGTTTTTATTCTCATCAAAAAATGAAATATATTAGACTTAATGGAAAACTACAAATAAGATTAATTCTCTGATGAAAAAAAGTTAGTAATCGGGTAATAATGTTTTCTTACTCTCCTGTATTTTTTTGAAAAATTGAAGTTTGCCCCTTTGCGACGTCAACAACGATTTGTATGTAGTACTAAGCTTTTAAAGTAAACATATTAAGATTTAATACAGTGGTTTAAAGAAGAGTATTTACCACAAAATAATTCCCTTAGCCGTGGTATCCCTGAATTCGCGAAATTATATTTTTTCTGTCGAATTCCATACTTTAAATTTTAGTTCGTATATTTTCCACGTACTTCTTTATTCAAACAGACTCTAGTCTAATTATAAACTACTTTTGATATTTTGAAATGTATTTAACCAAGGCTGGTTAATCACTCCGGATATATTAATAACAAATTTTATGTAATTTATATATTAAGACAGGTTATGTTTGAAAAAACTTAAAAATCACAGGTATTTGTATGACTTGTATATATTTAGTAAAGATATGAATAGCGTAATATGTATGGTATGATGAATATAACACGTAATGAAGGTAGTAATTTTAGACTGAATTGAGGTTATGAATATTGTAATCGTTGTTAATTGCCAATATACTTTCTCAATACCACGTATATTTTCCTTTATTAATATTTAATGTGCTATTAATTTTAATTAACAATTACACGAAAGTCATGCTGCAACTATTTTACGATTGTAGCAACAATGAGTCGGCTCGACTGGGATAGGACCACGTTATCACAGAAAACCAGTGTGAAATAGCAGTTTAATGCGTCTGTGTTTCGTAGGGGGGTATAGAGTACCGGAGACCATTTTTACTGGAAACGAGGCTTACGTAATCGAGGACAGATGTAGATGTCTATGTGTCACAGTATCAATTTACCATCAGGTGGAATGTGTGCTCTATTGCCACCCTTATTCTACGAAAAATTACTGTTTTAATCCTATATAACTGCCTTAAAATTGAGTCGTATTATATGAAGAGTTTATAGATAAGGTTTTTTTTTTATAGGATGACAAACGAGCACACAGTCCACCTGATGGTAAGTGGTTGCTGTGGCCCATAGACATCTTCATCTATTATCGATTACGAATCAAAATGCAGATGCGTTGTTACCCGTGAGGACTAAGATGGAATGCCTCTTTTCCAGTAAAAGGGGTCTCCGGTTCTGTACACTCACCATACGAAACACAGCAGTATTAAGCTACTATTTTACGCAGGTATTCTGTGAGAGCGTGGTCCTTCCCCGGTCGAGCCGACCCATTCGTGCTACAACTATACCGTAATATAGCTGCAGCATGGCTCTACCACGTATAGTGAGTTAGTTTTATGAGTGAGTTCACAAATATCTTTTACGCACTAGTTGTGAGACAGCCGGTTTATTGTGATATCTGAATCTATAGAACCTTGGCACGGATACCAGCTGATGCCAAACTAGTTTTCACTTTTCTTATTGCACGATTTTTTCCAAACAACGGTTTTCCAAACGATCGTTTATATCTCAATACTCCAGTATTGAAACTGTTCGTTCTATTTCACTGACCCCTTTTTCAACGTAACATTTGTATACATATTTCTCTTTTTGTTATTCTGTATTTATTTTTAAATTTCCCGTTGATACCCTAGCGAATTGTTTGTGGTTGAATTCGTTTGATTTCTAAAATATTTATGTAATAAAATGTGCTACATTTATGATCAAAATTGTATTAATTTATGTGAGTTTACAACACTGCGGTGTAGTTATGTCTTAGCGAATTTATCATGCTATTTCGTTTCGTGGCTATCGTAAGAGGCGACTATTAGAAATGCCAGAAATATCCTATGGTTTCCGAAAGTTTGATATCATGAAATCAACGCCTAATTAACGGTATGCCATTACTATTAATTTCTATACTTGTACCCGAACCGGGCAGCAGCGTTAAAGGTGCGTCAAGAAACGATTGAGATCATATAAAAACACAGAATAATGCCCAACATAATCAGATCGCATTCAGTCCCTACCCTAATATAACATGTTAAGTATTATCAGGACTTTACAGGACTCGAACTCCAGTTGGGGCCAATATTTAAAAAATATGTTTTCACTGCTCCATTTATCTGACACTGCATCCTAGTTTGCCTTCGATTTTATGCATTACATCGGCCACTGGTAGGTTAAGACTAATAAATGAGCAAGTATAATTTACCTTGTACAGTTGATGACGTCCTTAAATAATTTAAGATTTCTATATATTTCGAAAAGGAGGAGATTGAACATTCGGAAGTATTACTTTAATATATTTACCACACACAATATACCGGAGACTATAGTTAACCGATTGCTGACTTTTTTTACTAAATGAATATAAATACAATTACTATAACTATAATACAATATAAATAAAATACAATTTAATGATATAGTTGATTTAATTTTTTCATTGATCCAATAGTTGTTCTTATAGTATTTCAAACTAGAGTCAATAATAAGTTATACATTAAATAACATTATAATATTTAATTATTGCTTGCTTAAATAAAGGATTAATTATTACTATAAAGTGAAATTAACAATTTTGTAATTGCCGACGGGGATTGCCCGGATTGTTAGCGTACTATGAAATTTACAGCGAGCGCTTAGCCCTTGAGCTACCATGGCAAGACTTTTAAGTGCTGGTTTACCATGTGCTCGATGGTGAAGGAAAACATCGTGACGAAACTGTGAAAAGTATGAAAAATAAGAAAAAACAATATTTCGACTACATGTGAAGTTTTCCTTGCCCAAAAACCCCCTCAGCATGGGACGAATATAGCTGTAAATTTTATCATTATAAATGTCTCTTTCAATTTAACAGAATGAGGGAGAGATAATAACTTTAAACATTTCTTAAACAGATTTTATGCGTCAGACCTTTAATGTACAACTTATTATTAATTCTAGTGAACACAGCGTTGTTGTGAACGCAACCTTTCGCAAATTGAACATGCACTACCATTTAAGAGTAATTGTTTGTTGGTACACCTGCATTTTATTTTTAAATTTACACCTGATTCTCACTACCAACATTGAATACCCAGTGTTACTTGAATACATTTGTGATATACCTGTAAAAGGAAAACTGCTTTATACACATATCACTTGCAATGGGGATTGAAAAATCGCGAGAATTTGCTAGGCGTAGCTTAAAACTACTTTAACGTTTTCATACGGCGAAGTTTATGCAACTTTGTTTTCAATTATCAATTAGAAAAATTTTCACGACTTTGTGTCGTTTCGATTTTGTGACTTTTGTATTTGATTTGTGAGCTTTACTATCGTAGAAAATGCGAGTTTTTGTTGTTTGAAAGTTAAGTGTAAGATGTTATTTGTAACCGAAATCAACAAAAATTTGGTTAATAATTTTTTTTTGTTTGTTTGCAGGCCTCTTCAAAGGCTCAACCACAACACTCGACGGTATCGGTTTGCGGCCGATGCCAGCCGAAAGGCCGAAGACGTTGCGGAAACTGAAGTCAGTGTACGACGCGTCACCGACAGATCCACCGACGATCACCAACACGAATTTGAACAGCAATGGACAGGTGGAGAGGAATATCAACGGTGTCGAGGACGAAGTTAGAAGACGAAGTAACACTACGAGCTCGACACACAGTGGAGACAAATCGCTGTCGATACTCAGCCCGTTCGATGAGCAGGTGAGCTTTTGCAAATTTTTTTTTAAATATAACAAGAGTGACAAACCAGCGCACTGTCCACCTAATGGTGAGTGGATGCTGTGGCTCATAAACATCCACATATATCTACATATATCCTCGATTAAGAATAAAGATGCAGATGCGTTGTCACCCCTAAGATGGTATGCCTCGTTTTCAGTAAAAAGGGTCTCTGGTTCTCAAAACTTACCATACAAAACACAGCAGCGTTAAGCTACTGTTTTGCTACTTACTGTTGTGCTGCTTCCTCATTTGAGCCGACCCATTCGTCCTAAAACATAATATTATCGCTGCACCATGGATTTATCACGTACAATATTTCTACATGTTTTAGTGGTCTCTATGTACTCGTATCCATGCTGTATGTGTGAATGTAATGTATTTTTAGAATTATTTTTTAACCCACTTTAAGGTGTTCGAATTAACTAAAATTAACTAAAAAATAATAACTATTATGATTTATGATAATAGATAATAGAGGACCATTGACAATACAATAATTTTATAACTATGAACTAGTTAGTATCTTCACTAGGATCATCACAGTTAGTGAGTAATTCGTGTTGTTTTTATTTTTTTTTTTAATTTTGATAGTATTATATAAAAATATGATGTATGCTATGCTATGATACCTTATCAAAACTTTTGATGAAATTAAACACATTTTCGTATATTCCTTCAGAATGTATATGCAAAGATAAATGCTGTAGTCGCCTAATTTTATTATCTTTTCGATCAATTAACTGTAATAATACACGCAACATAATTTAACCGTTGTTGAATTTAATGAGTGCATACATGTTATATAGGTGATAGATACATGCTTTGCTGTGTTGAATTTCCATGGCGGCGTAAGAAAATTTCATTTCGTCTGTGGGGTGTCCTAAGAGACGAATATGGGAAATGCCATAAAATTCGTATCCGTAAGATGGCGGTATAACCATTTTGTTTACGCTAGATGTATGTAAGAGCCGTGGTATCTCAGATGGTTAGCACTCGCTGAAAGCTTCACAGTACTCGAGCAACCCGGGTTCGATCCCCGCCGGCACCAATGAAATTGTTAATTTCAATTTTAAGTGCTGATTTACCACGTGCTCGGCGGTGAAGGAAAACATCGTGAGGAAATCTGCATGTCTGAGATATAAAAAAATATTTCGAAGACATGTGAAGTTCGCCAACACGCATCGGGGCAGCGCGTCGGACATTTCCTTGCCCTAAAACCCTCTCAGAAATGAAAGGAGGCCTGTGCCCAGCTGTGGGACGTAAATAGGCTGCAACTTTAACATGTATGCAAATCTTCCCTACTATGGAGAGGCCCGTGTTCAGCTTTTCAGCAGTGCACTTTTACAGACTTATGAGCATAATAGAAGAACAGTGACTGAGAGAGAATGGCCTGTGTCAATAAGTCCGCATTTTTGTGCGCAACTGTGTGCAAAATAAATTAAAAAATTAAAATAAGAAGAAAGTGACACGCTACAGTTTAAGATCTCTTAAATGCTATGGCTCCATTTTGGAGCCTTTGGGATGTTGTAGAATATTTTTCTTAAATGTCGCGACTTTTGATTTTTTACTTAAATTTTGTATTGACTAAATAATGTGATCTAATATTGTTAAAATACTTTCTTAAATATATAATAATATACACTTTATACAAATATCTACTACAGTTGATAAACAATCTGCAGTACACCATTCTTTCACTAGCTTTCCGGTTGGTTGTTAGAAAATACCATGTTGTTTATACTGTACAATAAATAAATAAATAATATAATGATTTCTTATATTTACGCGAAACACTACACTTTTAAATAAAACTAATTTTAAAAATTAATCTGGAGGTAGCCGTGGTTAACTATGACTTTGGGACGTCATACACCTCAGTCCCCCCCGTGACCATGGGTGCTGTAGAGTGCTCGAAACGTCGGGAATATAAAATAAGTTAATATACGCGATATAATCCGTAAAATTAGTTTTATTTAAAAATAAATAATATTTAATTCGATTCAAAAGTAAAGAAAAAAAAATTGTATGTTGCGTCGATATCGATTTCGGCTGGTACTTGAACCCACTATCCTTAATGAAATAGGCACTAGATGGACAGTTACTATTTTAACCAAATTACATTTTGCATAATATTTTTTGACACACATACTGCTAATCTATCAGTGTCATTTAGAATTGTTATAGTGTCGCGAATTGCGACATTGTATTTTGTGCAAATGAGTTAGCTGAATTTCCATGACGTGCCATCAATGGCTTTAAAGTAGCAGACGAGTGTTACAATGCCAGGAAGAGGTGGAAATTAGTACTCAGTTAGAACACATGCGGTTGTGTTATTGGTAGGGATGCTCTAGAAATATCGATAACATGTTGATTTTTAATTTTTTTTTTTTTTTTTTTTTATAGGAGAGGGGGCAAACGAGCATGCGGCTCACCTGATGGTAAGTGACTACCGCCGCCCATGAACAACCGCAACACCAGGGGAATTGCAGATGCGTTGCCGGCCTTTTAAAAAGGAGTAGGCTCTTTTCTTGAAGGTCCCTAAGTCGTATCGGTCCGGAAAAATCCCTGGTGGTAAACTATTCCACAAGGAAGTTGTGCGAGGAAGAAAACATCTTCTAAATCGCACAGTGGTGGACCGCCAATCATCCAGATGGTGTGGATGGTATCGGGAGTTCTGCCGCGATGTGCGTTCGTGAAATTTGGCGGCTGGGATTAATCCGAACAATTCCTCAGAGCACTCCCCATGGTAGATGCGAAAGAAAATGCAAAGAGATGCAACATCTCTTCGCAGTGCCAATGAATCGAGCCGATCGGAAAGGGCTCGGTCGTCGACGATTCGAGCCGCTCTGCGCTGGATGCGGTCAAGTGGAAGGAGCTGGCACTGGGGAGCCCCTGCCCAGAGATGGGAACAGTATTCCATGTGAGGCCGAACCTGCGCCTTGTAAAGTTGCAGGCGGTGTGCCGGCATGAAATACTGTCCCGCTCTGCTGAGCACGCCAAGCTTTTTAGAGGCCAATTTGGCCTTCTCTTCCAAGTGACCACGAAACTGCACGTCACTCGATATGTCGACTCCGAGGATACCGATACTGGCTGAGGCAAGAAGGGGAGTGCCTTGAAACTGAGGAGATACGACAAAGGGGTTCTTTTTAGCGGTAAACGCGCAAACTTGTGTCTTCTGAGGATTAAACTGGACTAGATTTAGTCGCCCCCAATCCGAGACTTTGTCCAGCAAAGACTCGACTTCAGACACAAGTTTGTTCCGGTACTCGGCGACGTTTTCCCGAGAAATATTGGCCCGGCCGGTGTATAGAGCATCACCAGTGCTGTCATCCGCATAGCAATGAATGTTACCAGTTAGCAACATATCATTGATATGCAGAAGAAACAGCGTTGGTGATAGCACACAGCCTTGTGGAACACCAGCGTTAATAGGCTTGTAGTCAGAACATGCACCGTCTACAACGACCTTGATGCTCCGATCTGCAAGAAAGCTGGTGATCCAATTGCACAATTTCTCGGGAAGCCCATAGGAAGGCAGCTTCGAAAGAAGCGCTTTGTGCCAAACCCGATCAAAGGCCTTCGCAATGTCCAGACTAACGGCCAACGCCTCCCCCTTGGACTCTACTGCCTCCGCCCATCTATGGGTCAGGTAGACCAGCTGATCGACACCGACGAAAACCGTATTGGCGGTCACTAATCAGCTGGTGATCCTCAAGGTACCGGATGAGCTGGCAGTTAATAATGGATTCCATTATTTTGGAGAACAAGGAGGTGATCGCGATAGGCCTATAGTTGGACGGGTCTGAGCGGTCGCCTTTTTTAGGGATCGGGTGGACAAAAGCTGTCTTCCATGAATTCGGGACTACGCCTTGGGAGTAGGAGTACCGGAAAAGACGCGTTAGGACCGGTGCCAACTCCGGAGCACACGTCCTCAGCACAATTGGGGGGATTCCGTCAGGCCCACTCGACTTCTGGATGTCCAGGGAGAGAAGTGCTTTGCGAACTGAGCGCTGTGAGAATAGCACATCCGGCATGGAGCACTCATACCGCGGGATGGTCGGCGGTATTTTCCCCCCGTCATCAAGAGTCGAGTTGGACGCAAAAAGGGAGCCTAAAAGGTCGGCTTTGTCTTTTGCGTCTTGGGCCAGTGAGTCGTCCTCCCTGTGCAGAGATGGTAGTGATGGCTTACAGAAATTCCCTTGGACAGCCTTGGCGAGAAACCAGAATGCACGGGTTCCCGAAGGAAGGCGAACTAGTTTCTCGCCAATTCTGCCTATGTGCTCTAACTTTGCCTTGGCAATAACTCTTTTGAAGGACCTGGAGGCGAAGTTATACTTCTTTTTAAGTGTGCTGGTGTTTACATCCCGAGTCACCGAAGCCGCAGCCCAGGCTTGATAACACTCCTGCTTACTGCGCAATGCAGTCTTACAGGAGCGACCAAACCAAGGCTGAGATCTGCCTCCGATGGGTACCACAGATGATGGAATAAATAGTTCCATTCCCTGTAGCACCACATCAGTGACAGAGTCAGCAACAGCACTGGGATCATCCGGCGAGAAGCAAACCCGCCCCCATGGGTAGGATGCAAAGAAAGACCGCATTCCGTCCCAATCCGCCGACCTGTAATGCCAAACACGGCGGCAACCTGCAGAACGCAACCGCGAAGGGAGCGTGAGTGGCACCATACTCCGGATCAGACAATGGTCCGAAGAGCCGAGAGGGGCATCGACGGAAACCTGATATCCGTCCGGATGAGAGGTCAGCAGAAGGTCCAACAGGGAAGGTGTATGATCCTCCACATCTGGAATCCGCGTAGGCGAAGTAACCAGTTGTGTCAGACCATATGCCAAGGCAAAGTCATAAACAGATCTCCCCGCATGATCGGTTAGACGTGAACCGAGCCATTCGGCATGGTGGGCGTTAAAATCGCCAAGGATCACGATCTCTGCGGATGGGACCTGTTGTAGCAAGGAATCTGTAGCCATTTGGACGTGGTCGATGAGTCGGTCTGTTTCGGCATTACCGCTATGGGACCTATAGAGGCACCCGTAGACGCGCGGATGGTCGTCGCTGTCTACGCGTAGCCAAAGGATGGACAGGTCCGAACCTTCAAGACTGCCGAGGCGTCGAGAACAGATGTCCTCTCTAACATACACGCAAACTCCAGCCCGAGGCACAAAGGAGTGCTCCAATTTGTACCCCGGGTAGGAGAGATACGAAATATCAGCCGGAGAGGAAACCTGCGTCTCGGTCAAAAAGAGCAAGGCCGGCTTCGCCGTCTCGAGATGGTAGTGGACGGCGTTTAGGTTAGAGTGAAGTCCCCTGATGTTGCAGAAATTCACGGATAGCGTGGCAGGGGTCGCCTTGGTATTGTTGCTCAGCTTGCCCCGAGCAGTTTTGTTTTTGAGCGGAATTTTGCCCCCCCCAGAATACGCGGGGCAGCCTGAGCACCCACGCTCAGGATTGGAATAACATGGTCGTGGATGCTCAGCGAGGGATTCTCCAGGGGTACTGGTACCCTCCTGGGGTAGTCTATTGTCTAATTCCGCTACCATGTTGATGGGGGGGGGGGGGGGGGAATTGGGCCTCCGGCCACCTGCACTCACCAGACGAAACGCAGAAGCAGAGCCTCTACTTCACACCGGTATTCTGTGAGGTCGTGGTACCAACCCGGCTCGAGCCGGCCCATACGTGCAACAGCAAAAAACTGCTGCAGGGCTCTACCACCGTTAAAGTGGTAGTTAATGTGAACATTTCTTTACCGCTACCGGTTAGCGACGGAAAAACTGCTCTAATTTCTTTTCTTAGTTTATATCTGGACATGGACTTGCCGCGCATTAGGATCGGTTTGCCTCCACGCTTGGTAGACGGTTGACGAACACAGAACCAGATGTCGCACTTATAACGCTTGGTACATTACTTTTTGCGTAAATGGTTATTTATTTTTCGGAAACCATAAACCTGCTATGGCAATTCCGTTGTGTGTTCCGTGTTCCGATCTGAAGAGATATAGAGATCATAGAGAACCAGTATATTTACAGGCTATGAGGTAATCAATCTTACTATTTAGTGGTGACAACACACTTGTAGCCTTATTCGTTTTAAGTTGGCTGTAAGTGTCCATGGATTTCAGTAGCCAATTACTATCAAAAAGAGCGTAAGTTCGTTCGTTTCTTTAGTTTTATAAAAAATCATTAAAGTCTAAAGTTTTATACAGAAATAACGATTCCAGCAAAATTGTCATAAATTAGTCTCCTACTTGACAGCACAACTCACAATTAAAACGAAAAAAGACATTATTATCAAATACAAATCCATACTTTAAACGTTAGTATCATTCATCATTCGTGCATTCATTACAGCCTAACAAAAAGTCTACTGCCGAAAACTGGTCTTCCCTATGAATTGCCTCATATTTGCCATAGTTGTCACGCTTGGCAGATGGATTGGAAACTGCAGATTTTTTTTATTGAGGTGTTATTAGGAAGATGCTGCTGTCCAGCCCATGTTTCATTACCCACTGTAGTCCTTAAGACTAACACGGAATGATATGGAGTAGCGGCGACAACAAACGTTAATATCACTAATATAAACGTTAATATAATATATTTTAGTGGAGTGCATACTTTTGCGTATATTCAAATAATAATATTAATAATTCAATGTTATCGATAACATCGACTTGCCGTAATACGCAGTACTGCGTCCCTAGTGAGGTTGTACGATGTAAAACTCAAGGGTACAGTGATAATGATACCCTGACATGAAAAACTGCATGCATATACAAATATGCAAATTGTTGAGATAAAAGCAACAAGTATTAATACAAGCGTTTGAATACTTAACGCATTTAAATGTTTTTGCAAGCACAGAAGTAAACAATACTATTAATACAATATATCATACATTTGGAATGTACTCGTTTATGCCTTTCGTGGATACCATATCTATTTGCTTATTATTTTCTTTTATATCTCTGGTTTTGGACAGTGAATATGTATTATAATTATTTTCCTCTAATAACGTTAAGGGCTAATTTTTCAAACATTATAAAGCTATCTATCGAAAAAATTTATAACCTGACTGAATATAAAAGTGAAACAATTGAACTATTTTATTCATACGTCAGTAATTTTTAATTTGTTTACCACCCAAGAATACCACACCATACCCTTCTTTTTGGCTCCAAAGCAACATCTTGCTGATAACATCTCAAAATAAAGAAAAAACTACGGTTGCCCAATCACCTTCCAAGGGTTACAATTATATCAAATATCCTAACGAGGCAATTTATGGGGGAGGCCCATGTTCAGCAGTGGACTTCTGTTGTAATGAATAAATAAATAAATAATTATCTGTATTATTCATTTTTTAAAGAAATGGATACTTTTGGACTTCTTGCTAAATAATACTTATTATATTAATATGCCTGTATACTAAGATAACTGTATTTAGTTTTTTATTGTTGTAACTACTTTATAAAAACAAATTAGAAAAAATATATATGTATACTACATAAGAACGCAATAATTTTTTCTGATGATCTAGTACAGAAGAACGCAGTAAAAATTTAAACTTTAAGAAAAATAAAGAATGGTAATTTTCGTATTAAAGATATGTTGCAAGCGTCAGTTATGATTATCGAAGACAGCTGTTATCGTTGCATGCTTGCGTGTGACATGCAGGTAGGCAGGTGTTGAAAAAATTGCAGACTGAGGCAAATTGTGGATATTATTATCCGCAGGTGCTTTTGTGTTAAGGGCATCATAATTTTTTTTTTCAATTTATCGTATTCAATTCAATATACAATGTATTGACTTAAGTATGTTTTATAAAACATCTTTTTCGATGTACCTTTTGATGACCAACAGACACGCAAAGAAAGCTTTAATACGTGTAATATCCATCATCATCATCATCAGCCTGCAAAAGCCAACTGCCTGACATTGTTGCTGGTAGGAGCTGCAATTAGAGACGGAATGGCCTCTTACGACTAATTTGGGACGAAGTCGGGTGAATTTGCTTACGCCGCCATGACACAGCCCCTTATGTTAGATATAATTACTTTAAGGCACTAGCTGATCGGTGTAGTTAATCGCACATTAAAAAAAAACAAATCAACGTAGAAAATTTTTAGGTTTTATTATTTTTACAATTTTACAACGCAACGACAACTACATTATATTAAACAAGTAAAATTAAAACAGACAAAAAAACACAAAAGAAAAACCTAATCCAACGTCTACATCTCTTGGATCACCCGACTTCCCAACAAGCCCTTAAGTACTTCGTCTGTATCGTGGAGGTGGATCGATGCATTGAATGATATTATAGATCGTAAACTTGTACAAATCGCCGCTCTTCACATCAGACTGTTTTTTTCTAATACACAAATGTTGTTTGGAATAAGTTTTTTTGCACCTTTTATACGGAGTCACGTTAGTTTCGAATTTGTGTAATAACATACCATTACTGATGTAGTTCGAAGTAATTCGCTCAAATTCGGGCGAACCAATCTTTCAGTTGCACGGGTGTAGTGCCAGCATTAAGTAAATAATATTTGTCCAATTAAAACCAACGTTTCTTTTTCTGCTGTAAATATACCTATAAACGTATTGGTTATATTCTTTTTGTTCAATTTGCCTGAAATCCAATCATTCTGTTACATTTGAAGCGATACACCATACTTGCATTTTATTTTGCATGTATCCAACCAATAGGTGTGCATGCGCTATGATTTCATCACGGTTATATTAGTGCGATAGTTGACGATAGTAACAGTTTACTAAAATTTGTTATTTGAATACATGCGTATGCGTTAAGATATAAAGAGCAAATATGTTTTCAATTAAGTAAGTAAGTGGATGTCCCCATACCTCTGACGTTGCAGGTGCAAATTGGTAGAACTAGTAGTCTAGATTCTAGAATGAAATAGATGAGAAACATAACATTTTTGCATTATCATTGAAGTGAAAACCAAAATAGGTAGGTTAGTTTTTTTTGAATTTTACGTGGTAGAGCCATGCTGCAGCTATATTAGTAGTATAGTTGTAGCACGAATGGGTCGGCTTGACTCTTGCCTTGTAGACACCCACATTGTAATCGGATGGAAACACTGATGCTGGCAACTTATTCCACTCCTTTGCTGTACGCATTATGAATGATGTAGCCAACCGTTTGGTTCGAAAGCGTGGTAATTCAACAACGAAGGGGTGGAGGCTGGTGATATTCTTTCTATCGCTGGTGATATTCTATATCTTTCAAGTATCAAGATAATGATTTTGTACGCGGTAGAGCCATGCTGCAGCTATATTAGTAGTATAGTTGTAGCACGAATGGGTCGGCTCGACCGGGGAAGGACCATGCTCTCACAGAATACCAGCGTAAAATAGCAGCTTAACGCTGCTGTTTCGTTTGGTGAGTGTAGAGAACTGGAGACCCTTTTTACTGGAAATGAGGCTTTCCATCTTAGTCCTCACGGGTGACAACGCATCTGCATTTTGATTTGTAATAGAGGATAGATGTAGATGTCTATGTGCCCCAGCAACCGCTTACCAACAGGTGGATTGTGTGCTCGTGTCACCCTATCCTATAAAGAACAAAATTGGGACTGTGCATGATATTAGAAGGTACGACTCCTTTTCTGGTTAGAAGTCCGTCTGGGTGGGTGGCACTCTCTTACCTATTTCTGGCGCTAAGCAGCAGTGTATGCACTGCTATGTTCTAGTCTAGAGGGTATGGAGCCATAGCTATCTTGGCGCAATTTAAATCAACCAGGAAATAAACATTACTATATTAATAGAAATAAAACATTTTGTATACGTATCCCAAAATATTTTTAAAGTAAATGTTATATATTATTTTAAAAAAAGACATTTTATTCAAATATTCATACTTCTAATATTATTTTGTTTTTCCTTATCTAATATTATGTTATTTTTATCAGGAGGAATGGGCGAAGATCTCCGAGATAATGGCATCGTTCGGCAGCAAACTCGTTCGCGAGTCCGTCTTCGTTTCCGAACTGGAACAGGAATTTACCACGAGACTGGGCTTGAGCTGTTCCGAATCCAGTTTGAGTCCGTCGGTTACTTCGAACTTGGGCTTTTGGTTGTCAAATCTTGGCCTTCATGATTACGAGCCACTCTTCATGGAGAGTGGTTACGATGATATCGATTTTGTTGTAAGTATTTTATATAGTTTATAATAATTTCAAATTAAATCAAACCTACTTATTTACCCACTTCAAAAAGGACACGGTAATTAATTCGACTGTATGTTTTTTTAATGTGTGTTAACTCAAAACTTTTTACCGGGTGAACCGATTTCGACGATTCTTTTTTTATTTGAAAATTGGTACCTCAAATGTGGTCCCATATAAATATTGATTAGGGTCTGACCAATAGTTTTTTAGTTATTCTTAATAATTTATATTGAAGTTGGTTGTACAAAATGTTTATGTTAAAACTTAAGATAGGTAACTGTATTATCATCTGACTTGCATGGCTTCCAATACAAAGTGGTATCATCAATGTTTATTTTTCTCCGCTATCCATCAGTAAAAGTCCACTGCAGCATCAGCATATTCTATGACAGCAGTACTTCAAGAACGGCCGAACTTGCGCTTTATGTAGAGACTGAAGACTGAAGGCTCTCGGTGTGGTCCAAAGATACATTCCCGTATGTACGAGAAAATGTGACCGGGCTGCCTTTTGCGGTGAAAGACACCGTTGTTTGTTATTTTTTTAAAGAATAAGAGCGAGGAACGAGCACATAGTGCACCGGATGGTTAGTCTTTGATTGTCTGTCTTTGAATAAGAATCAAAATGCAGACATCACAATGTCACCCCTGAGGACTAAGATCGAATGCTTCGTTTCCAGTAAAAAGGGTCTCCGGTTCTCTACCTTATCTATTAAATGTTACAGTTCGCCTTATGTTTATTATTATATATAATATTATAGACCGAACTGATTTATTTTCATGTTCGCTGAGTGAGCTCAGTAAAATGGCATATCATACTGTATCGTTTGCTACACTATCGATTTAGGGTGGTTACACTGTAATAGTTGTGTATGTTATGTGAAAAAAAATATATCAGGGTTGTTTTGTTTACCGAGGAATAAAGATGAATGCATAGAATGAATAGGTATCTTGTTAGGACGCCCGGTAGTGAAAAACGTGTGAAGTATTCTAATTGGCATTGATTTGTTAGTACATTAATAAACGGAAGAGGCGCGGACAGTTTAATAGCAACTTTAATAGTCGCAATGGTTCCATTCAATATGGTTAATTTGATGATTTGTTTTCAGAACGGCATTCTTGATGAAAACGACCTACGCGAAATGGGAATCGAAGAAAACGACAGACGAAAAATACTAGAGTCGGCGAAACAATTACCTCTTAAAATAGCAGAAATAAGCAATAATTATAATAATAATAATATAAGTAAAAACCAAATTGAAACTGTAGACGAATGGTTAAGGAATATTAATTTAGAACAATATAGTGATACGTTCAGGAAACATTTATATGTAGATATGGACAGAGTAAGGAGAATTTGGGAAGTAGAATTAACAGCTGTACTTGAAATACAGAAGCCTGGACATAGAAAAAGGATTCTGTGCTCAGTGTCTGGGGAACAGAATGGTCCAATTAATAACATCGAGGATATTAATGCTGATCTCAATACTTTGGTAAGTATTTTAAATTTTTTTTAATGTATATGCTTGCCAACCTAAATATACAAACCGGTTGAACCAGATTGTTTGAATAAACCTGATTTTCGAGACGAGCGTGAGTTAATAATAATAACAATAAAACCTTAAAACCGATTGAGGTACAAGGACTAAATCGCCACGTCTATCTTCCTTAAAAATTGTCTGTTCTTGCTTACTTCAGTTTTTTTTTATTAATGTAGCACACGCACACCTAGTAAAAATCACACCTTGCATTTACTGATCTACACACAAAATAGAGAATCGATAACGACTGATTACTATTTTATATCCTCCTTATATGCATTTTAACGACCCACTACTGGGCATTGGTAATTTATAAAATTGGTAGGTTGTTGGTTGGCTTGATTGGCGATCACAGTATTGACCATTCACGACGACGGTCTTAATGCAATTCCAAAAAAACACAGTCTTGTGATATGTAAGTTGCTTAATATATTATTTTATTATATTACCATATTTTGTAAGGGTTATGTTGTTATTTGCATTAATATTTCTGAAAAGCAATTTATATGTTCAACTAATTTATAAAGGTTTTTTTTAAATTGGCTATCTTTAGCACGTCCCTTAATATTTTTTCACAATCTACTCGTATATTTTATCATTATTTGCATTAAATAAAAATGAATTCTTTAACATTATAGTCTCCTATGGTTTAGACTACCTACTAAGAGTAATGGTCCCTATACATGCTTGGCCATGATGGACGAATCCTAGCGATCACGATCGTGTGGAGGGCATGATCGCCTATAATCGCTTATGATCGGTTATGATCGAGCGTAATCGCCGTTGTGTCGGTCTTTCAGACAATCATCAAAGAAAGTTCGGCCATGATCGTGCGCGCGTCTACATGATCGCCGATGCTCTATAAACTTACCTTGTTTTATTTCAGTGTATAGTTAACATACACCTTTTTTGCTTAATTTATTTTTCACCATTCTTTTAAGGCGTACATTTAAATAATGATTATACATATAAACTAATTAAGTAAATAAATACCGGTAGCTGCAACTGTTTCAAAATCCATCTCGGACAGATGACAAGACAAATATGTAGGATGCACGATCGTGTGGGCAGCCGCGCAATGATTGTGACAATCATGGTCCATTCTGTGGTTGTCCATCATGGCCGATCGTGTATAGGGCCCATAACATTTCAAACTACGTAAACACAGATAAGGAGTTGTAAAATACACTAAGCTTTCAAATTAGGAATGCCCGATTTTATATAGCCGCACTGGATCTAGCCTATTACGGCAAATTTTTTCTAAAATAAAAGTAGTGTAAGTTGCTCCCTGTAACATCGGCTATCTGCCAGTGAAAGTCCCGTCAAAATCAGCACATCCGTTTTTCAGATTAGCCGGAACAAATAGACCATAGATTACTGAAACAGACAGACAAAAATTTTAAAAAGGTATTTTTGTTATTAGTACCGTATATACTTTGATATGTATATAGTAAAAAGCTGTTATTTTGACATTAAAAACTTCGATTTCGGCAATTGCTATAGTAGAACTGTCTTCACTTTTGCTTAGCTCAGAATAAATATGTGATGACGTTTGAAATGATTTTTTAAATTGGTAGTATTTCCACTAGTTTAAACCATATGCTTACACATTTTACATTGTTCACCCATGTCACCCTCTGTCACACATCTGAGCCGTGGTAGCTCAGATGGTAAGCGCTCTCTGTAAGCTTCACAGTACTCGAGCAACCCGGGTTCGATCCCCACCGGCACCAATGAAATTGTTAATTGCAATTTTAAGTGCTGATTTACCACGTGCTCGACGGTGAAGGAAAACATCGTGAGGAAACCTGCATGTCTGAGAAAAAAAAATATTTCGAAGACATGTGAAGTTTGCCAACACGCATTGGCGCAGCGTGGCTGACATTTCCTAGCCCTAAAACCCTCTCAGAAATGAGAGGAGGCCTGTGCCCAGTAGTGGGACGTAAATAGGCTGCAACTTTACTTTTTTTACCCATGTCTCATTTATTTAAAAAAAAACCAAACGTTTGATTTCGTGGCGGGGCTGTATTTAAAAGTATTTTAAAATAATAATTTACGCTCACAGAACAGCTCAACTTTTCGTATCGCAATAATACAAATAATTAAAGATCATAGAACACTAACATAGGTATCCGATAATAAAATAAACAAAATTATTTTACCTACCTTCATATTTCATACATTACCGCTTTTGATGTAACTCGAAGCTACTCTCATTCAATGTGTAGGCAGGTAATCTCACTTTGTTTTAGTTATTCTGTCCCCTCCCCGGCAATACGATAGGTATGCAAAGATCGGTTCGTACGTGAGTACGTTACGGTTGGGTTGATGTTTAGGTTTTAGTTGATACAATTTTTTAATACGATCTTATAGCCGTATAGATTCGATCTGGGTGATGATCGCATTCCCTTGAATCGATTCAAAAATCGGTTGATCGTATGGCCGTGAATCGATTTTTCAGAAAATCGATCCAGATCGGTGATCGCTATTTCGAATATACAAACTTAAAGGTATATTTAAGTGAATTGAATCGTGTTTGTGTGTACTTAAGTGTTACTTTTTTCGCCATATAATATGGAACTGTTATATAGGTGGTTTAAAAAATCACATAGATGTATCAAAACATTCTTCTTTTATTAAATACCTTTGCCACAATCATGTGTTTCACAAACGTGCTGTTTTAATGATATTTATAGATCCTTTGTCTCGCCAAGTTGCTGAACCTGAAATAGACAATTTCACAGTTGGTACATATCCCAAACCATTGGGTAGTTGTCCTAAGTTAAAGTAACCTTAAAATACCTTGGGCGAATAAAATACGCTCAATCTGCCTGTCATATGTCAAATGTTGCTGTGACCTGAATTTGTTATAATTAATTGCTGTGACAAGACCTCATAAATATGTTAAAATAAATAGATATCAACAACTCTAGGAATTATAGAAGTCACGTGATATGATCACGTCAGTGTATGTTAATAAAATATTATGTCCTTATTTATATGAAATCCTATGTTATCATAGACACTTTCATATTTTAACATAGCGACTACATGCTTAAGTAAACAGACCTGCTTTTAAAAAAAATATAGAGACGCGCACGACAACGACCCCGAAATCTCAAAAGTACTTTTTTAATTCATCAAGTTGAAAAAAAAAATATTACTAGTAACACTCCATGTAAGTAGCTCCTACGGACTAGTATTACTAATGTGAAAGTATCGGCTCTGTACTAAACAAACTGCCTGCCTGGCCTGGTTAAAGATAGGCAACTCTTTTAAGAAAAGCATTTCAGCTGGTCCATTGCTAAAAAGACCTAAGCCAAGCAAGTTGACTTAAAATGATTGGGAAAGATGATTTCATATTTCATACTTATTATTGCAGCGTTTTACATTTAAAATAAATCAATAATGCATTCGCGGCTGTGCCGGTAGAATGCTATCGAGACGTTGAACTGCACATAATCTATGCAATCAAATGACTGTAAAAAGGATATCCGATCGCAGAGCGACGAGTTGAAAATTAATATAATACGATTGAGGAAATTGTAATGATACCACTTGGAATTCATATTCTCTTGAGAAAAATGTACTTGTAATGTATAGTAATGTACTACTTTGTTTTCGGGCTTTAATGACGTTGAAAACATATGAAGGTTGTTAATATATAAAAAAAAATTATCCGCCACTTTGTATTACAGTATGAAGCTTGCCCTATTTATTATTATTATTATTTAAAACGACTTATCAAAATTCTGGCCCGATGTTAATAATTAGAATATACAATATTTATTTACATTTGCCGTATGTCGTAAAGTATACCTATCTTCGTAAGTCTTGCAACGAAATATTGTTTAAAATTCTGAAATATTTTACACTCCAATATTTTTTTAATACTTTTTACTACAATATTTTACATTTATGTTATTCTTTTACTGACACCTGCCTCCATATTATGTTAGAGGAACGTTTATGTTATCTTAGCGCGAAAGAGTGAAAACTAGCCGAAGACTTTATTCGAATTATTTTAGTTAAACTGGTTACGATGCATATAATCGAATCACTAGATATATGATGATCAATAAACTGGCGTTGGCGTTATAGAAACAGACTGACGAACTTCAGAAAAGAGAAGCCAAATAGAACAAGCGAAATGCACGACGACGTGACATAAAGTTACCCGAAAAACATCTCATTGCTTTTTGTTAATATTTGTGTGTAGAGCCACGCTCTAGCTACAGCCTAAGAAGAACTCCTCTAGCTATGAAGCACGAATGGGTCGGCTCGACCGGGGAAGTACCACGCTCTGATGAAAACACCAGCGTAAAACAGTTGTTTATTGCTATTGTGTTTCGTATTTGTAATCTATTCACCATCTCAAAACTAACAATTATGCGTTTGTAAGACCATTTCATTGTTTTACAACTGTGATTGCAGATTTAGGCCCAGGGTCGATCGATTGTATGTTATTTTTACAAACCAAAATAAATCATTGTGATAAATTAGTATTTCGAAACTTCATGCACGTTAATGTTTACGACAATTTTCAACTGTCATGTTTTATATGCCAGTCATTATAAAATGCATTCGTTCCGTTTAGTTGGACACAAAGGGACACTTTGATGTGCATCGCGAGTACTGAATTAATTTAAGGAGGATTTCCTTTGCCCATATTGGCTTTAATGATTTAGCGGCGACTTTACGACATCATTGAATTATATTAATGTTATATTCCTTAGATAATATTAGAAATTTAAATATTCTCCGCTGGTTTTTATCTTTAAAAAAATTCTTAAGGTATCATACTCCACTCTCAAACTCTTTCCCAATCTTATCTTTAGGCATTACTTGGCATAAAATATGTTGTCAATTAGCGCCCCAGACATTTTCCACCTCTATTGTATCATCCTGTCTCTATTTTAGGTACTTTACATTTGAAATTTTAGATTCAAGTG